ATGTTGAGATATTTCCTGATAAAGAAATATTTGGAATAACTTCAATTTATTCTATTCTGTGAAAATTATGATGCTATACTATTGGTATATTAAAGATACATGATACTATTTAGAGATATGTATATTTTAAAAGAATTTTCACAAATGTAATTTGTAATGAAATGAAAGAATAATTTATTTTCTGAGGGTACTATCTTAATTTAAGGTTTCCTTTACACAAGATTAGTAATATAAATTAGAGAAATTATGTTTCTATAGAAAAAAATAGTGTTAAATAATTAGAATTGTGATTTTAAAAGTAACAGCTCAGTTGTGATCATCGTGCTCTTATCCTTTTTATTTTATTTAATTTTTTTAATTTTTTTTTTTTGGTACCGGGGATCAAACTCAGGACCTTGCACTTGTGAGGCAGGCAGAAGAACCACTGAGCTAAATCCCCAGCCCCTCTCTTATCCTTTTTTAGAAGATTATAAAATTTATTCATTTTTTTCAATGTCTCCTCTGTTGATTGTTTTCAAGTTTTTTTCTCCTTCTTGAAAAAAATGTGAAAACATTTATTTTGCTAGAATACCATTTATTTCCTCTCCATTTTCAAATACATTCCAGTAGTGTTTCAAATAGCAGTCTTTTAAATTTTTTCTAAGTTTTTCTTTGCCTATGATTCTGTATCTTTTTTTATGTCTTCTCTTACATGCTTTTGCTCTCTTGCGCTTTCCCTTATGGGAATTTAATCTATTTTACAATTATTTTTAAAGTATTTGTTTAAGAAAATATTTCTGTATTCTTCCTCTCATTTAAATCCATGTAGTTTTAGCTTTTATATTTTATTGTATTTTTCATTATATTCTTTTGATTTATTATATTATTTAGTAATGAAGATATTTATAGTTATAAATTTTTATTTACCTTGTTCTGTTTACCATAAGTTTTAGTATGATTTTTCTAGAGTTTCTGTTATATTCCAGAGAGTTTTCATTCCTTTGAATGAAACTATCTAAAAATGTGTTAATTTTTAGGTGATGAAGATTTATGCCCTTTCAAAAATCACATTTCTAATTTTATTGGCTCAAAATCAAAAGAAGATCCCTAGAAATGCTCTACTTGAAAATATTTGTTAGAGAATGTTTGAGGAAAAATTATTTTTAAATATTTCATGACATTTAATGTTTTTAATTTGATAGACATATTTTTGTAAATCTATGAAATGCATTTTCATTGAATTGTTTAGTATCTCTATGTCCTTTGTTTACAAGTCACATTTCAGAAATATTTTTCATCTTTCCAAGTTTTAGTAACCAAAGCAAAATTAATTTCACTTTCCATTTAAAATTCTTCAGATAAGCTCCAATTACCTTATTTTTTTCTTTTAAAATACTCTTAATTTTAATTCTGGGGGAAAGGGATAAAAGAAAGAAAAAGATGTACAGAATAGTATCATATCTGGTTTCTGTGAGAATTCTCAAATTAGGATTTTCATGCAGAAATATTTAGGATTTTTCTTCAATTTACATTTGAAACACTTTTTTACATTTCCTTATTGCTTTCTTCCAATGAAAACCATAGTACATATAGAATTTATATGTAGATATAAATATAACAGCTATATTGCCTATTCTTTAACATCGATCATTTCATTTTAAAGAACTATGTAAATTTCCTTACAGTAGTGCATTAAAAATACATTTAAACAGGACTGAGGATGTAGTTTAGTGGTAGAGTTTTGCCTAGCATGTGAAAGGCACTGGAATGGATCCCCAGTACAAAGGAAGGAAGTAATGAAGGAAGGGAGGGAGGGAAGAAGGGAGGAAAGTAGGAGAAAGAAAGGGGAAGGTAAACACATTGAAACAGAATTTGGTAACGATTTTCTCATTGGTAATCACTCTTTTGTTGATAATAAAAATCCAAGCATGTGTAGTAGAATCAAATTTAAAAAATAATAATCACAAAACAAAACTGATATCATATACATACCAGATATTTAAAATATCAAATAAATTGATAAAGTATTGGAAACTATTTGAAAATACTAAAATACATTCTCCCTGTACTATGAAGGATATGCTCAGTCCTAACATTATTACTTAATGATTGCACACTTTTCTAGCAGACCTGACAGGAAATCATGTTGGTTCCAACTTTTATTGACCTACAAGGTCACTATAATTTGGGTAGCGGTGAGATTTGTTAGATTCGGAGACAGCTTATATTTAATCTAGGGCACAATATTTAAAGTGATCCTAATGAAGTATGACAACCATATTGACTAATCTACAAAAGAGAATATGTCATTGCAATAGTAATGGGATGAGCCACCCAATTAATTGGTAATAAATTGGACAGATTGTTTTGGAAGCCTTCCAAGAAGGAAAGCACTTCTGATGCTATGCTTCAAAAGCAAGGTAGAGCTACTTCCTTAATCCAATTGTATAGAGGAGAGAGTTTTGATATTTTTCCTTTTCAAATTTTAATTGCCAGAATCCAATCCACAGTAGAGGCAGAATTGCAAGATACAGAATCTATGATGTTTATATGAAAATTAAGACTCTAGAAACCTGCAAAGAGTAACATGATTTTGAAGGAAATTCTTCTGGTATTTCCTCTACTTGTGAACAGCAATGGACATAATTTAACCTTACAGTGTATAAAATATTTTCATTTATAACTCATTTGGTCCTTATAATAGTTCTCTAGATATCTTTCTCATTTTATGGTGATGAACTTGAAGTTCAAGAATGTCAAACTCTCAAGCTAAAGCACTCACTGTGATGTGTTTAAACACAAGCGAGTCTATCACTTTACATCACTGCCAACACAGCAATGGCGCACATAATCTTGTGTTTACTCATCACACACACTTGCCTTTTCTGTGAGTTAGAATACAACAATAAAAATTCTAACCACTAAGAAACATGAAAATTTCCCTAAGTGCATTTCTTTCAGTGCCTAACCTTGTATTAGGAGAAAAGAGAGCCACTGGATTTCACAGTAAAACACCTTTAGAAGTACGAAAAAGATCAAGTAGATGATTCTTTCTCATTAGATCAGGGAGTACTCGTGGAGAGTATGGAAATTACTTGCTCATTAAAATCATATAATGAACTCATTCACAATTGTGAAGGGAAATCTGACCCTTTGTTGTAATTCAATATACCACAAGATCCTATGTTGTTTAAAATTAATAATCTAATGTCAAGTAAATTTCTTATTTTTCTTGATTCTTGCTTCAGGACCTTCAATTCTAGGTCCTTAGTCACATTCTCAAATACCCTGTAAGCAAAGAAAACAACAAAACAATACAACAGATCTACCTCCCAAACCTATTATACTATGTAGCTTATTTATCTCTGTTCTACACAATAATGTGTCAGTGTCCTGAATTTCTCTGAGAAGGAAAGATGGATTGATTTCGTTAGCTAGTCTCTAGAAAAAGAGTTGAGATGTCAGGAGGAAAATGCCCCTCTCCATCACCAGGGGAAGCTAATCGGAAGAATGTCGGTGGGCAACAGTGTCTACATTCGTCTCCAGCTGCAGCACAAGGCTGTTAGGAAGTGCAACTAATAGCATCGTTGTGAGTCATCTCGGGCTTTAATAACATGCTCCACAGTGGCTTCATCGTATGAAATGGATACTGTATGTAAAGGAAAACATACTGCTCAGCTGAATATCTGCAAACTTGTGCACGACACAGTGACATGTAGCTATTGCTTTCAAACTGCAACAAAACTGCCAAATCCCATCATCACCAAGGTTCTGAAACTCTCACTAAGTTTTTGTAGGGCCATGTCAGGCCCATAAGTTGTTATAACAACTTAATTCTCGAAAGTAACCTCTGCCAAGACATACTACAGTTGTCTACTCAAGTCTACTTTGAGGGCTGATTCTAGAAGTTAGAAAAAAAAAAACAAAGAAGACAAGAATCTGTACACTGCTGAAATATTTCGATGACTGTTAATTTGGTTCCTTTACAAATTTTTGGTATTCTGAGCTGATTTTTCAATAACATTTTCTCTACCGGAGGGATGTACTGTGACCTACTTCTACATGTAAAGTGCATAATGCTCATAAGCTCTGATTTCCTGGTCAACTACTCATTAATTGATAATTGGTGGAGTACAAAGAGCAAACAGACGGGACTGCTGAGAAGGGCTTCAGCTGGCCCTGACTCTGCCTCTGTGATCGCTGGGAAAAGAACATCTCCAACCTTCAAAGGAGAGGGCTCCCCTCCTTCAGGTCCCTTTCAACTTTAAAATTGCATGACATTTATTTGAAAGAAAAAAACTTATTGACAAGCATTTTCTATGCTTCTTTTCTTCTAAACTAGAAATTCTTTAAGAGGCAAGAACAAAGGTGTAAATATTTAAGCATTTTTGAACTTTTAAGATTTAAACCTTATGATTTAGAAAGTATTTTAAATTTTCAAAGGAAAATGTTTTAAGTTTTTAAAAAAGTGTGTAAAGTAACTAAACATATTTTAGAAGAACATAGGTTAGATATGTGTACCATGCACCTGGTGTGGGATATTTACTGGCATGCAAATCAATTTACTCAGAAGTTCCTAGCTGCAAAAGTGAAAGAGGAAATAGTGAACTATAGTTTGATTATCTAATTCTATTTTCAAAGATATTGTACAAGTTTTTCTGGAGAAATAATAATTTCCTGGAGGAAAAATGTTCCTAGCTTAATAAATGCTCAGCTACTCACTTAAATGTTTTCAAAAGTACACTGTTAGGAAAATACAATTTGATGAGAGAAAAGTCATTCTGTATAAGCAGTTAGTATCTGTGTCCATCAAAACAATACTGAGAACATTCATATGTCTGCCCTATACTGTTCTTTCTCTTCTTAGTGATAAAGAATATTACCAGGCTGGGGATTTAGCTCAGTGACACCATGCCTTCCTTGCAAGCACAGTTCGTGAGTTTGATCCTCGTACCAAAAAAAAAAAAAAAAGAATATTGCCATGCTTTCTTATAATCAATTTGTCTAATTTTATTTTTCAGAATGATAAATCCCCAGGGCGATCTGCTAGTCGATCAAGTAACATTTCAAAAGTAGGTAAAACGTATTCGTGTTCATGTTTATTTTTTTCATTAAGTTTATTGGTACATTTTAGTTATACAATATAGTTAATTCATCATTGGGAACTTGTACCTTTACGTGATGTATCTTGATTCTTATTTTTATGTTTATTGATTTCCACATTTCATGAGTTCAGTAAATATGTACAATGTTTAACCTATAATTTTTATCTGTGGATAATACAAATGTAACTTGTATACCACTTATAGTTAAATAACTTTAACAACTTCAAGATTTTACTGTGATCAAAAGATGTGATTTTATACAACAAAATAAATTAAACCTTTTTTTATTCTTGGTGTTACATACAGAAGACATAATTGTCTAGCTTTAGAGTTGTAATGCAAAATGATTTTTCTCTCATTTTAAACACCATCAAGCCACCACACACAGAAGTAAAAACTGTATCAACACTAATAGTACAGTTCTTGTGAATTTAATATTTCAGAATTCTGGATTCAGCTATGCTAAAATTTAACTACTGTTGTTCACCAGAGAAGATTTTAGAAATCAATTTAACAAAGACTTGAGTATGGTTATATTTGCCTTATAGACTCAACGAATGAAAAAGCAAAATACTCCCTAGACTGTAAATCTAAATAAGATACCAGAGTTGAAAAGATTATGGATCAAGAGAGAAAATGTAGATTTTTATCTTGCCTACAAAACAAAATTTAAGAATTGTTCTCTAAAGTGAGGTACCATGTGCTATATAGATATGGTTCTTGAGAAGTGAAAAGTAATTTAGAGTTATTTTTCAAAATGAAAAATTATGATTTTCAAAAATACCAAGATGGATTTACCATGAATGGAACCTGGATTTTGGGAGCTCTCCCTTGCTAGGGCCCCTTCCATATGTGTGACTTTAACTTTGTATTAACAATTTTACATTATTTTCTTTGTAGAGCACCTCCAAAATAACAATAAACTGCAGGCATTATAGATCCAAGATCAGTCTTCAATGTTTTTGTTCATTAGTGGAATATTGGAGAAAGGAAAAAAAATTCTACTCAGTCTTCATTGGCTTACTCTGAAAGAGTTGAGATTAAATACAAGACATATGCATTGATATTTGTGTGTGTGCATGTGTAAAGTCAAACTATATAACAACCTGTGCCCAAAAGAGTTAACACCACAGGCCTGAGACTCCCATCCCTGGCAAAGCCTCCTGGCAAGTTTGGGCCTTGCTGGCATGTGAGAACTAGGAGTTTAGGAGTGGAACACCACCCTACCTGATAGGTATGGTTCACTGCACCTAAATTACAAACAGTATGGTTTGTCCTTACCAGGTGGTTTCCTCCTGGAGTCTGAAATATTAGTACATGATAGGCAGATGAACGTTTACAGAACCAGCCCCCAGTATCCAACTCTGAGCAATGAGTCTGTAATGGGTATTCTGGTAGACAGGTATCACAAGTTTTATAATGCATTGCTGTGGGAATTAAGCCCCCCATGCCACCCCGTCCCTGTGTGAGTGTACTGGGATGAACTTTTGGAAACTTGGTACTGATTCCTTTTCCCTTTGCTTATTTTACTTTGTATCTTTTCATTGTGATAAATCATAGCCAGAGTATAACCATGTGCCTAGTCCTGAATTCTAGAAAATCATAGACCCTGGACATGGTCAAGAGGACCCTTGACACATTGTCCCCCTACAAACAGAGGGTATGAAAGTTCAGAGTGATCGTTTCCATTTAGTTGGGACAGGATAACATCAGAGAAGGTTTTTTGCAATAATGGTAAGTAAATAGGGACTTAAAGAATTGATCAGGTGTCGGGAAAGAGTATTTAAAGGGATCTAAGTACAAGACGTGGAAACAAGAAAATATAGATTAAAAAGAAGGAAGTACATAAAATAGTTTGTAAGGGGCTTTTAAGAAGAGACTTTGAAAAATAGAATGCATTCCCTTTAATTTTGTCTTACACGTATTATTTGGCTTAGAAACAGAAATGGTTTTAAAATCCAACAAGGTCCTTGGAGCTAAAGACTCTTTTTTAAATGAATTTGTACAAAAGTTAACATTAGAGCAAACATTCAAGATTCTGCATTCTAAACATGATCTTGCTGTTATGAATGTGAAAATTGAGAACATGATACAAACAATGCATATTGAATTGTTAATAAGCATCAGAGTTATCCCCTTAGATTTTACCTCTGAATCTGTACTACATATTATTCAGTGGCTATTATTGTTTTAATTTTCTGATCATTTCAGTATTTGCTTTATATTACTTTATATGTCTAGTTTGTTTTAGTTAATGTTAGTTAAACTACAACATGTTTTTCACAATATTAGTAAGACTGATATGCTTTGGATGTGTTAAAAGTTGATCCAAGAATGATAGAGATGCTTTACATATTCAAGTTAATGTATGTGAGATTATCAAAATATCTTGGGTGTGAAGAAAGCGGTATTTATTTATCCACCAGTGACGTTTTGGGGGAGAGCTACTTTAGATATTAGTAATTAGTTCTTGTTGCTGCTCTTTAAAGTGCATAAGCGCACAAATTCATTCCTTGAAATGAAAAATTAGCCAAATTTGGCCTTTCTTTTACTTTGTCTACAGTGAAGGATCATTACTTTCAACTAGCAAGAATATGTTATGTACTTCACAAAAAAATTTCCAAAGCAAACTGTCAAAAAAAGAAAGCCTTGTGCTTCCAATTCAAATCAACAGAATTTTCTTTTAAATAAAATGCTGTGCTTCAGGTTTGTGTAGGAAGCAGCTCCCAAAATCTGATCTATGTAAGAAAAGAAATTCAAAGGGCACTATCTTAACAAAATGACGATTCAGATAGTTTCCATAATTTCCCTGTATATTCCTCAGTCTTTACTGATTTGACACAGTTTCATTTATATTTTCAATTGTTCTTTACCTAGAAATATCTTATGTAATGTTTAGGTACAGGTGGCATATATTTTATAAAATATTATTCCTAAACTTTCACTTAGTTGAGTACCCTATCTCATTCTGCAATATATGCAGATGTATAATATAGTCAATATAATTTTTTCAACAAACGTACTGATGATTATTGTATACAGGCATTATATGGATCATAGCACTTTATACAGGTATTTTCTTTCTATTAAATACATGTTTAATTTCATTTCTATACATTATCTCTCTGTATTTTGCCAATTTATCTTTAAGATTCCAAAGTGTTTTCCAGCAAGGTCAAGGTGAAAATGTTCCTCATATGTAAAATGTGAAGGGAATTCCTTCAGCTCAACCTGAGCCAAGCATTTGCATTTCTGAACAGGTGTTTAATATTCTGATTTATTGAAATACCCATCTTAGCTTGCTGATGCAAGAGACCTATAAGTCAGCTAAACCTCAGACAACATATTTTGGAGGGTAAATTTGATAGGTTGATAAAGTAGAGCAGGATGTAAAATTAGAAAATAAGTGGAAATGAAATGAACTAATTTGAGAACTTTCACAGAGCTTCAGTCAAGTTACACACTGAAACCAAAGCTGAGTAAATTAGAATGAATTTAGTTGATTTAGTAAAGAAGTTAGAGGAAAATTAAGATAATCTAAGACTTTATGTCCTGAGGCTTTTACTTTATATGTCATCACTCCTTAGGCAATTTCATCTAGCCTCATGACTTTATGTAATCTGTAAACCAATAACTTTCAAGCAGACATTTTTAGCCCAAATGCCTGCCGTGAATTCCAAATTCAAGTGTCTTACTTAAATTGCATAAGTGTGTAAAAAGGATGACATCTTACGTGAAGTTGCTTAATGAAAATCTTAAAACAAAAATTTTTGTAAAGATTTCCTATAGGAGTACTTCCAGGGGTAGCCATTATGGGCTTGAGAAGAACAGCTCAGCCAAGAAGGAGTGAAGAACAGTATCCCTCCTCCTGAATGGGGACTTTTTAATAGAAGATGCACTTCAATTTGTTCCCTCTGAAGGGGTTTCATTCCCCAATACTTGTCATTCATTGGCTCAGAGTCATTTAGGCAGAGGAAGATTTCCCAGCATGTTGACGCTTTTCACATACAGATGAACTGTCCAAGAAGCCAAAGGGACAGTTTCCCAAAGAGAATTCCAAGTGCAGAACTATACAAATGAAAGCACCCAGCATCCAAGAGAGGTATTATATTCTGACAAATGGTGGAAGAGTTCAAAAAGGATCTCATTGAAATATTGACAGTATCTATTATGGTCCATCCTGTATACCACCTTGATCCATACAAACTCTTTTCATCTTGTTAAAGGATTCTTATAGATGGTGATTAGTTATAATTTCTAAGAAGAAATTTGAAACACATGGGTTAGTAGAATGAGCTCTTGTTACTACAGCTGCTAATCAATACCAAATTCATCATCTCCTTGTTCTAACACTCTTTCAATAGCTCTCATTCTTGATTCCCCTTACTTTAGATCAAGTGGCTTGCTAGTGAAATGTCTCTGACTTTTAATCCTGATACCATAAATTTACCAGGCTGTAGTTACTGTAATCACCCCATTGAAATTAAACCAAATTGTAGGTAAACATAAGTGTGGGTAAGTGAAAAAAAGTTGCAGTAGATCACCCCAATTTTAAAACATCTTTTCTCATTATGTACCTGCCTCCCCATGATGAGCATCTTCCATTGTTTAGTGAACTGCTGCTCTGTAACTGGAAAAGCTCCAATCATGTGGTCAATTGTATCTACAGTCTGGCCTTCTGTCTTTCTAGGGCCAAGCAGCATTTTTTAAATGCATAAAAATAACTCTGCTACAAGAATATAGACAATCTGGAACATGAACGTTTTAGTACAGTTTTCCATTTGGAGCTTTCATCATTGATTTCTTTGGGGGTGGTTCCTTCATTTTCTAAATAGAATACTTTATTTGGACAGGCTTGATATGACTTAATGACAGATACTCAATTGCATCTGAAAGGAAGATAAATTAAAATATGTCATAAAATTGCATGTTATATTTGAAGCTTGCCGGAAAACCTACATGCATTT